CCCCTGCATCGGCAGGCGGACTCTCAACCACTGCGCCACCTGGGAAGCCCTGCTCTGGGATTTTTAATTCTTCTCTACTCTGGCTCCATCCCCACCTCCCTCAAAAAGTGGAGAAAGAGTAAGGGCAAGCTCTAGCCCTTTAGTTAAAAATTAAGTTTGGCATTTAGATCTTAAGTCATATTTCCTTTGACTTAATGTTCTTTTCCCCATATTTCTACATTTTAATATCATTTCTGACTTCCTGTTTCCTAACCCAGTTTCAATTTGGGGGAAATCTAACTCTCCTGGCTGACAGAAACATACTCCTAAGAATTTCGAACCCATATAATATTTTTGTGAAGGATCTCAAAAATAAAAGCAGCTTTCACCAGGTGTTCAAACCCTAATCAGATTAGTGGACTTCGTGTAAATAGATGGATCCAGTGTCAGTGGTCTGGAAGGGTACAAAGGGAGAAGCCCCAGGTGCAGTGCTTGTAGGGCTGGGGGAGTGTGGTGCAGGTGAGAGTATTTACTTTCTGTCATGCTTTGAAATGCTAAGATTTCCCCACCTTTAAAGAACAATGAAGAAGGGTATGCCCCTCTATAAGTAAATCTAAGGTAAAACCACCCAGAATTATATCACCTTGGCTGACTACAAAACATTTCCTTGTATAATTCTTATAAAAATCAGTTCTCATCGGATCATTTAAACAAGACCAGTTTATAAAAGTGTATTTACTGGACCAATCTTAGAAGACTGTTCTCTGTGAGGAGGAAACCCAGATACAGTACTTTAGCTGGCTGGGATAAATTCAGATTTTATAATCGAGGAACCTGGAAGCTTGGAGAGTTTAGTACCTTGTCCACTTTCACACAGCCAGGACTAGGACAGAGATCTGGTTCTTAGTCTCGTTTGCTTTCTCTTATACCCCGTTATGACTGTGCGGTGAACAGAGCATCTACCTAATATCAGTTCTGAGAGATGCTTTGCATCTTCTGGAATTTGATAGTGGTTTTGGGACCTTTGCCTCAAAGGGTTAAAAATGTCGAGCTTTTGTGAAGTCCGAGGACAGACCTTCACTGTAACTAGTTTTATGTTGTTTCCTTTTACAAGGAACTGTTTCTGTGCACCCTCTCCTCTCTTCTCAGGTATGATGACTTAGAAATTCTTTTTCACATATATGTACATGAGGAATGTAGGAGCCTTACAGTTAATGACTAACAAGAATGTAAGTCAGGAAGCTGTGTGGTAGAGTGGTGAGAACCTGTGATATTGGAACCAGGGGCCTGAGTTCCTGTCCTGCTGCTTTTACTCATCAGTTGAGTGACAGTGAACAAGCCTCTTAACTTCACTGAGCCTCAGTCTCATCCTGGGTAAAATGAAGTTAATAATGCTATTGCCCACGTTGCTGTGAGAATGAATGAATGAATGTATATCAACAACGTGTGCATATGTTTTGTGCCACACACTAAGTACTTTAAAGGACACCACAGAGGTGGGGGGAACTCAGTCTATACCCTCATAATCTGCTTTACATATTTAGAACAATCAGAGAACAGTAAAATATTGCATAGATTCCAGTATTACTTTAGTAATGGTGCATATGGAACGTGCAGTAGTTGCTGAGAGATGAGGCAGATGTTTGCTGGCTTCAGTAGATGGGAAAAGCATTTCAAACTCAGTATACCCCAAACCAAACTCATAATCTTTCCTCTAAAGGTGAATCTCTTCTGGAGTTCCCATTTCCTACTTTTCCATTTTGGGACTTACAGAGCTAGGAAACATCCTTACCACCATATCCAGTTGACCCCCATATCCAGCCCATCCCCCCAAGTCTCCATTGTCTTTCACTGACCACTTCAGTAGCATCCTAATTAGTCCCTTAAGTAGTCAATATTTTGCTTTTCCAGTCTAATAAATTTTTTCCTTTTAGTGGATTCCCACTGCAATCGGGATAAAATGCAACCCTTACAGTGTGAAAGAAACTCAGTCCTTTTGGACTCAGGGTAAAATCCAGTTCTTTAACATTGCCTGCAAAACCCTTCTTCTTTGGACTGCCTGGCTCTTCCCCCTAAACTCACCTTACACCCTTTGTCCGCTAGACACCCACACTCCAGTGAATGACCTTCCTTTGTTCTTCTAAGGTAATATATGTCCTCTTGCCTCAGGGCTTTCACATGTGCTTTTTTTTCTGTAGCTCTGTAGTTTCTCAGCTTTCAGATCTTAAGATATTCCTCATTAACACCTCTCTGACCCCCAGACTAGATCATATCCTGCTGACAGTCTGTTCTCAGAGCCCCTGTATGTAAATCTTTGGGTTTGTAGGTATGTATTTGTGCAAGATCATTATGTCCTCAATTCTAAAATGACTTGCCTTCTCACTTGGAGTAAAAAACCAAAGTCCTTTCAATGACATTGAGGCAAGTCTGCCCTCTATTCATCCAAACCCCCAACTCCTATACTTTCTCCCCTCCCTTACCCTATTCCAGCCACACAGGCCTCCTTGCTGATCCTTGTACATATAGATGCACTAAACAGACTCCTGCCCCAGGGCCTTTGTACTTGCTGTTCTCTCTGATGGGATGTTCTTTCCCCAGCTGTACAGGTGGCTTACTTTCTCACTTCTTTTAGATCTTTGCTTAAATGTCACCTCTGTGAGGGCTTCCTAAACCACCCTGTTTAAAATCTATGTATCACCCCTTGTAACGTGCTCCTTCTTTCCCTGTTTTATTTTTCTCCATGGTACTTATCAGCATCTGATATATTATAAAAGTTACTTGTTTATTTATTGTCATCCTCTTCTCACTCTGCTGTCAGCTCCACAAAGAATGAGATTTTTATCTTTTTCTGTTGTTGTTCGTTGCTGTAGCCCCAGTGCCTAGCGGTCGCTAGTGTCTAGTAGGCATTTTCTTTTTTTTTCTTTTTTGGTAGACATTTTCTAACTATCAGTTGAATAAATACATGAATGAATGACTTTGACTATTTTTCTCATTAAATTTTTAGCTCATGAGGGCATGGGAAATGTCTTTCATTTTCTATTTACTCTCAGCCCTTGGCACATTGTGGATGTACAGTAAATATTTGTTAGATAGATAGACAAATAAAAGGGTGTAAATTCAATTTAACCTAAAAAACAGTGATGTAACGGGACATGACCTTCATGGGTAGTGGACAGAGACATGGAAACTCTGCTTCAATTGGCATTTCATGTATGTGCCCTTTCCCTTCCCCTGCAGATGAATTGGGGGTAGAGCTGTGTGAGTGAGAAAATCACTTTTTGGTAATGACTCTTCAGTGACAAAATCCATTTGTCTCTTGTTTAACTGGAGACCAAATATCGTATATGTATAAATACAGATGTTTGTTTAGAACAAGTAGCATCATGATAGTAACATGTAAGATTTGGTTTTCTTGCAGAAAACGCTGTCCTGTATCAGAACTACAAAGAAAAGGCCCTTGACATTGACTCTGATGAAGAGTCAGAGCCTAAAGAACAGAAATCAGATGAAAAAATTGTGATTCACCATAAGCCACTGAGGCCTACGTGGAGCCAGCTCTCTGCGGTGAGTGTGTACCTTCTCTTTTTGTATCTGCGGGAGTGAGAAGACCAAGTTGTGGACATTATGCCTAGTTGTGCTTTTAATTTTTTCTACCAGTGATCCTGTAACCCTAAGGAGAAAGACTCTTCTTTTTAGATTGTGAAATATTTCTTGAAACTCTGCAGGCACTAGTGAGAACATGAACTTTGACAATTCTGATCAGGAAAATTTATCAGGTTTTTATAAAATAAAAGACTGATGTACCATGGACTCTGGAAACTCTTCCTACTCAGTACCTTTTTTTTTTTTTTTTTTGCGGTATGCGGGCCTCTCACTGTTGTGGCCTCTCCCATTGCGGAGCACAGGCTCCGGACACGCAGGCTCAGCGGCCATAGCTCACGGGCCCAGCCGCTCCGCGGCATGTGGGATCTTCCCGGACCGGGGCACGAACCCGTGTCCCCTGCATTGGCAGGCAGACTCTCAACCCCTGGGCCACCAGGGAAGCCCCCTTACTCAGTATCTTTTCTTGTTTTCTTTATAGAGTGTGTATGTAGTGGTAGCTTAATATATCCTGAGCTTTATCGTAATTATGGCTGTATATACATATGTATATGTATGATGTATGTACATATGTATATGTACCTACGCACAACAGGGAACTTATTACACTTCTTTCTTGGAAATTTCATTTGATAGGGACACATTTATATTTCCTTGAAAATGGTTAATGAATGGCATTCTGTTCTATCCCCCTGTGTGCATCTTTTGTTTGCGAGTATCTGACACTTTTGTTGATGAGTAATTTCTCCTCTCTGCATCAAACATCTTTTGTTTTTAGCCGTAATTTCTTCTCCTCCTGGCTTAACAGTGTCACAGTGTGATGCTTAGTTTACTTGATGTGACTTTGAGTACAGCATTTGTGGGCATCTGATGCATTACCAAGTAGGAAGGAGTTCCCGTGGCAGGCTTGGGTGGTGGGAGCGTTGCATGAAAAACAGGCCAGTGCACCTCTGTGAGTCCTTTGGCAATATGGGAGCACAAGTGATTCCCTCTTAAGTCGACACAAGCATTGTTCAGAGTCAGGAGTCTCATGTATTTAGGGAACCCGTCAGCATAAGTGAAGAAGTTGTATATGTTGGCCCTCATAAATTTGACCGTGGAAATGGGTGCATGTTGATAATGGGGATGACTTCTGACTCAGGCTCTTCCTCCTCTCTTCTGCCCTGTATTGGAATTCAGAATTCTAGAAACCAAGCCCTTTCTTCCTGTCTCTCTCACACCCCCTAATTTTGTTCTCAGGAGAAGTTATGTATTTCCAGTCCCCTCATGGTGTGACACCCTTAGTGTTATGCCACAGATTAAAATGCCTACAGAGGCAGAGCAGGTGGTGTTATAAGTGATGCTGGTGAGTGTAGGTGATGGGAAAGTGGCGGGGACTGTGGTCCATAGGCCTTGTATGAATTGAGCAGCGGACACTTAGTTCAAACCAGCCCCGTGTTACAGTATTTTCTGATATTTAAAAAAGAGAATACAGAAAGCCAGATTTTTACGAGTATTATGCTAATTCAAGTTTTAAAAAATGTTGTATGAGGGCTTCCCTGGTGGCGCAGTGGTTGAGAGTCCGCCTGACGATGCAGGGGACACGGATTCGTGCCCCGGTCCGGGAAGATGCCACATGTCGCGGAGCGGCTGGGTCCGTGAGCCATGGCTGCTGAGCCTGCACGTCTGGAGCCTGTGCTCCGCAACGGGAGAGGTGACAGCAGTGAGAGGCCCGCGTACCGCAAAAAAAAAAAAAAAAATAAAAAAAAAAAAAATGTTGTATGAGCCCAGCAATATCTATGGGCCAGACTTGGCTCCTGTGCTAACAGTTTGCAACTTCCGTGATGCTCCTGTGAATTTCGCAGTGGTGAGGTGGTATCATCTGTCCACAGAACCGGCATGTTGGTAGCCTTATTCCCTAATCTGATGACCTTGTGGTATTATATACCAATGCAGATACTTGGAAAAACTGGTGACAAGGCCCACACAGGCCAAGATGGCTCTAAATGGCTGTCATTCCATTGTTGGTATGGACCATTTGGTAGAAGATCCTCAAGAAGAAAACTGGATTTTTTGAGTTCTTTCTCTGGGACAGCAGCTGCGTTTGTTAGCACAGGCCTAAATCCTTCTGTTGTTCTCTGAATGCTAAACAAAAATGTGTACTTCTGTGTCACTTACACTCTGCTCCAGCTTAGCTTTAGTACCAAAAACCAGGCTGCCATATTTATGCCTCCTGGAGTTTGGCTTTCATTTAGATTAACAAATGCACACTGAAATAATACTACATATCCTTCAGTACAACTTCAAATATGGGCATGTGTTGTATTTGGCAAAGGATCAATGTGCCGATGCACCTTTTGTTAACAAGATTGATATCAGAAGACTATCTGGTGATAAAATGTAGAGCTATAAAATGGGTTCTAACTGCAGCATGTGTTATCTTGGATTTGAGTGTTCCCAGAAGGCTTGTGTGTATTTATTGTGTTGGTGGCAATTACACTTAATCAAAGCAGCATGATTGGACTTTGCCACTTGGCATCACTTGGGCACCAGCCTGCATTTTCTTTGTGCCTTTTGTGTCCCTGTTTCACTTTTAAAACATATTAATTTTTTTTATTATAAAGTACTTCAAGCATGTAGAAAATTTAAAACTTAAGTTTGTGTAATAGATTTCCAGGTACCTGCCATCCAGGTACCAGCTTGAACAGATGTTAACATTTTAACATATTTGTTTCAGGCTTTTATTTTTTGAGACAGATTCAGTTAACCATCCTCCTCTCCAGTCCTTTTCTCTTTCCTTCCTCCCCAGGGGTCATCACTGTCCTGAAGTTCTCTTCTGTCCTTCCCACGTGGGTTTTCTACCCACTAAAAAGTTGCAAGCAGCTCTGGCTCTTAGGGAAAACAACAGAAAGCAGTGATTACTTTTTTAGAAGCCTAGCAATTAGTAAATATCCAGGTTGCAGTTAGGACCCTAAAGAGAAGAGGCTTCATGAATTATGAAAAATGTCAGGATGTTTTCCGTAAGGGGTAGTCACCTCCGTTTCTCTGTCTGACCTTGTGCCCTGATCTCTCCTTGTAAAGGGGCTACAGTGTTTAGGGCAGGTTTTGGAACACTTCGACTTTCCATCATCTTTCCATGCTTAACTTTTAATAATACCAAATAAGTAGGGTAGTCCCCATCCTGTCTTTAACACAAAACTCTTCCTCAAGTAAGGCCTTGATCCCAGAAAGGGAATAGGACAAGGGGTTTTCTGGCAAAGGGGTTAGGTCTCAATTTGGCATCTACCTTGACTTTCTACTTGGGAGGGGTGCGTGTGAGCACACCTGTGCATTAGCTGCTGTTGATGGTTTTATTTTGTAAAAATCTCATATATATATATATATATATATATATATATATTTTTTTTTTTTCTGTACGTGGGCCTCTCATTGTTGTGGCCTCTCACTGTTGTGGCCTCTCCCGTTGTGGAGCACAGGCTCCGGACACGCAGGCTCAGCGGCCATGGCTCACGGGCGCAGCTGCTCCGCGGCATGTGGCATCTTCCCGGACCGGAGCACGAACCCGTGTCCCTTGCATCGGCAGGCAGACTCTCAACCACTGTGCCACCAGGGAAGCCCCAAAATCTCTTATCTTTGTTGCCAACACATGACTACCTCCTGAGGTGATGAAACTTTTATCAGTTGACTGTAAGAAGCATCCAGTATGCAGGAGACTCTTTAGAAGAGCCACAGTTTGCAGTCATTTCTGGTTGTTGTGTAAGGTCCTGAAGCCTTCAGTCTGTATGTAATTTGTCTTCGTGTGTTTGTTTATGATATGTCTCCTTTGGTTTTATTGGACAACCACGAAAGGTGGTTCTCCATGTATGGTGTTGGGACAGGTTTAACTGTTGCATTGTGGTCACCTAGGAATGAGGGAGAATTAGAACTGAGTAAGAGAGGCATTTAGTTGGGCCTTCATAGAATAGAGAAAGTCTAGGCTTCCCTAGTTGGATTATAGTGACTTAGTGGTGAATGTGGGTAGCAGTGTGGCTATGCTGACAGGGTCTCCATGTAGAAGTGGGGTGTTCTGCATTGTCAGGAACACAACCTGAGCTCCATGCTGTCATCAGATGGTGCCAGGCTTACTCTTCCTTCACTTGCTTGTCAGAGGATATTGATCTACTCTTCATCAGAAATATAGGATTTCTTCATTCCAGGGAACATAACTTTATGCTGCCCTTCAGGCCTTGGGGAACACTAATATATGAGAAATAAATGATCGTGGTTACCAGGTTTTAGTTGGTCATAAGTGGAAGAAATTTGAAGTTTCAATTTGGAAAGTCATTTTTGTCCTCCAGAGATCTGTGCCCAGAGAACCTGCCATACACAGGTGAATGGCCCAGCAAATCGCCTAAAATGGCATCGTGAGGACTGAGACAGCAGTTCTTGGATCTCTGGGCAAAGCTTGTGGGTTTGAAGAAAAATATTGATTGTATTATTAGTGTGGGATAGAACACTGAGTACCTGCTACAGTTAGTGCTAGGTGGGTAGCAGCTGAGTCCTCCATGCAAAGTGAGCTTAAGGTTTCTAATCAGTTTCACCCTTTAATGGGCTCCCAGAAGGATTTACAGTATTACTGAAAATAAAAAATCAATCTTGAAGTCTTTTTGCTTTTTGTCGTAACTTGACCCCTCCCCCCATCACGTACTATGCATTGGACTAAAAAATGACAGTTGCGAAACCCATGTTTGTTTTGTTAAGTTCCGTGACAGCCCCAAAGCCACACTTGCCAGCCATGCCCTGACCCCATTTGTTTGCCATGGGGTGTGTTTGTGTAATTTCCACCGCCTTGACACCCCAGGTACCTTTGACAAGGGTGCTCAGGCTCCAGAGTCAAAAACAAGCACACAGGCAAACTTTCTACTTGGATTCAATACCGAATGTAGTCACCTGACATACACCTACTATAGTCATCCTCTTACTGGACTCTTCCTTTATACTTGCTG